CCCCAATATTCATACTAAGCAGAACCCCTTGAGGAACCATGCAATTACTGTCGTGGGAGTTTCTCTAACCGACAATCACCACTATGAGCCTAAGTGGTGATACAACGTCTTGCCCACGCTGCCGGAATTGTCCTATACTTTGCCGTCATATAGAACGCTTAACTTAGTGGATCCACTAGCTTAACTTATGTGATCATCTAAAAAGTATAACACATTAATATCCATGGTGGCTACATGATTTATGGAGACTTGAGTTAATATGAACTCGCATCCCCATATCGGTGCTCAATACTACTCCCAAATATATACTTAGCTCATATGTTTTAAAACAACTTCTTTCTTTGGTTTGAGATAATTACTCAAAACTTAGCTTAAAAACTCTCTTGGAATCGGTGTTCCCTTTTCTTTCTCAAAATGTGAAAACATTTTCAAACATCTTGGGAATACTTAGTTCCCATATACTTTTTGAAGAAAATGAACTTTACTCTTACTCTTTACTCAACTTCAAAGCTTAAGTCTTAAAACAAAGTTTAAACATTTGTAAAAGACTTCTTAAAAAAATGGTTCACGCTGAAGTATGGACTTGAACGACTCAATGCAAGGTTTTTAATAACCATAGATAGAACTCAAATACTTGAAACTCAAGAACTTCAATGATACTACAAATTTCAAGAATGCTCAACTCAGAAGATTCATGCGGAATTATGAGCATGAACTACTCAACTCAAGGACTCAAAGATACTTCTCATCTCAAGATTGTTCGACTTATAATGTTCATGCGGAATTATGGGTATTAACAACTCAACTCATGGACTTCATGGGTAATAGGTAATACTCCCATGATTAAGATTATAATCTCGGAAGGGTTAGGAACTCGATACTCAAGACTTAGAACTTAAAGATACTAGTCTTTTCAAAGATACTAAACTGATGGAGTTCATGCGGAAGTTATGGGCATGAACGACTTGACTCAAGGGTCAAAATATCAATAAGGAACTCAGGTATACGACTATTCTCATTCTCATACTTACTTCTCAAAACTTAACTCAAATCGATGGTGGATCTCAAAGGATTCATAATTAAACTCAAAGACTTTCTTGAACTCTACTCTTAACCCTCTCTTGAATATGAATTATGAATTCAAGGGTTATGGTTCATGATACGAAAGATCTCATGATGACAAAGTAGACTCATGAATACATTATCCTTATCGTCATACTCACTTGCTCGAATCTTGAAACAAGTTACTAAAAGTTATAGAAGACTCCACAAAAGGACTCAAAGGGACTTTCTTAGAATGTTCGAAAGAATTCTCAAAACTTAACTTTTAACTCTACCTTGAATTTAAATTATGAATTCAAGGTTATGATCATGTTATGAATTATTTCTAGGTGTTTAGAAATAGCTTAGAGTAGTTAGAATCGAAAAGGAGTGAAGGTGCACTTTAAACGAACTCAAACGGGGCAACCGACGACAAACTGGATGGGGCAGGCGACCCTGGCGCTATGGGTGGCGCGGGGCGCTAGCCCCTAAACTTCAGAGGAGGGTTTGGGGCACTCTGACTGGCTCATCGTGCCAGGCCCCAACCCAGAAAATACGATGAATTTTCCTTGCTCGCTTTCTCACCCTAACTCGCCTAGAATCGAACGGTTTCTTCCCCAATCACTTGGATTCGATTACTTAACATAAGTACACTCTAATATACTCCAAACAACACTCAAATTACTAAATTTCATCTCAATAAATCATCAAAATCCCAACACAACAAGATTTAGAATGAACTAGAAGAACACCTATCAAGAACTCATCAAGAACTCTAATCTTTCAACTTCAAGAATGAAATTTCACTGGAAATAACATGATTGGCGTGTGGGTGAACTAACCCAACACTATGGAAGCTTACATACCTCTTAGGGATCAAACCTATGGCAAAAATCCGCTACAACACACATGAATCTCGACGAACGCTTGATCCTCTCCTCTTTTCTCCTTTTCTCCCTTCTTCTTTTTTCTTCTTGAACTCTCAACTAAAACCCTAGGCGTAAACTAGGATTATAAAACTGAACCTAGTCAGATTAGACCCCTAAAATATTACTAAAAATGAATTAAATCTGATTGGGTAAGGAAAAGTCCAAAATACCCCTCTAAAATCCGGTTCACTTTCCTTAACTGGACAGCCTAACTTTAAAAAATCATATCTCACTCATCCGACCTCTAAACTTAGCAAACTCGGCGGCGTTGGAAAGATAATTCAAAGGTCTTTCCTACGGTATTTGGTAGCATACCTAACTCATCCTTAGCTAGGAGTTATGGTCATTTGAAGTTGACCCAAAACTCATACTTACGCATAACTTGCAAAATTTCAGATTTTGTTATTTCCAATTTAGTTCTTTTTCGAACTCAATGTGTTACATCTAGTGAACTTAACACTTAAGAAATTTTAATTCCTCGGTAAAATCCTACTCACTACGAAGGATGGTTCAAGTCTTAGCTCAAAATTTTTTGGGGTGTTACACTTTGTTAACGTGCATAGTTATTGCTGCTAAAAATTGTGCATAATTAAATTTGTTGAACTTAAAAATTAAAAGAGATAATTGTCAAAAACACACCTAAACTATCCATTTTTTTTTAGTTTCATACATAAACTATTGATAGTGTGAGTTTCATATCTAAACTATCCATTTTTTTTTAGTTTCATACCTAAACTATACAGTCTCTCTTTTATTTGAAAAAATCTTGACACATGCCATTCCACCTTGACAAAAATTAAATAATAAACCTATTAATATTAATTAAAAATTGAAGATTAAAGTATTATTATAATATATATATTTTTTAAAATTAAATTATTTTTCTTTCCTCACTCCACCACCTCCTCCCCCTCCCCCCGACAATCCTCTGTGCTTTTATTTTTTTTGAATTTCTTTTATTAAATATTTAAAAAAAAATCATACTTCACCCTCCCCCAAAAAAAAACCGCCCACTCATCCCCCCCCCCCCCCAATTTTTTTTTTTGATATTCTTTTATTTTAAAAATAAAAATTCTACCCCATCCTATCTAACCCTCCGTTCCTAATTTATTTTTATTTTTTTACATTTTTCTCGTTTTGTGTTAGATTTGTACATAAATTTTTAGGAATTTCTTTCTACTTGTGTACTTAATATAACATTAATAAAAAAATTATTTTTAAAAAAAGTCTTGCGATGACAAGTAAAAAATATTTTCAATATGTATATATCTAACAATAAAACGAGAAAAAATGTTGGAAGCGGAGTGGGTAGAATTATTATTTTTTAAAAAATGAAATAATATCTAAATTAGTATTTAAAGAGTGTGGGGGTGGGGGGGGGGGGGATGCAATAAAAAAAATTAAAATTTGTTATAAAAGAAATTTAAACAAAAAAGAATTTAAAAAAATGGGTGGCGGGGTCCACGGTGAGAGAAGTGATGGAGTGGGATAAGAAAAATATTTTATATTTTATTTTATAATTTTTGTGGGAAAATAATTTTAATTTTAAATTTTAACTAATATTAATAGTTTATTTAATTTTTGTCAAAGTGACATATTTTGTCCATGTGGAGTGTGATTTGACAATTTTTTAAAATAAAAGAGAGAGTATATTACACGCATCATGGTGAAAGTGTTATAAAAGAGACATATGTGTTTCTCAAAACTAATAGTACTAGTTTAAGTATGAAATTTACATTCTCAATAATTTAAATATGAAATTCAAAAGATAATTTATGTGTGTTTTTACACTTGTCTAAAGAGATAATCAAATTTTATAAAGAAGCATAAATTTTGAAATTCAAGGTATAAAAAAAAGATATTCATGATCATCAAATGGCGTGCTAGAAATGGTGCTTTCAATGTCAAATACAAAATTGACACGAGTTAAATAATATATTTCCTTGTGCTTGAATCATGATACTGAGTTGACATAGGGGGCTACAATTATTAGGGTTCCGGAATTTTCATAACTATTTTATCATATTATTTTTATTAACTGATTTTAATATTAGGTCTTTGCCTCATTATATGAAGAATACGTAATCAATATTAAAACTAAAAACATGAAAAGAATAATTATCGTTGGTTGATATACAAGAAATGACAAGTAAAAATAAAAAATTATTTTCAAAATAGTGAACTACTCCTAAATCCTAATAAAAATGACACATAGAGTATCTTCAAAGCAATTTTGAATACAAGAATAATCCAGCGTGTGTAACTAAATTAAGTACTATTTCAATTAAGTGATATACATTAAGAATCAAAATAAAATACTATTACTCATATATTAAGAAGTATTTTGGTCATTTTTCTCCAAATACACTTGAAGATGAAGGTTAGACAATATTAATTTTATATGACATGATCTGCCACTCTGCCAGCCTTTTTACTACTAAAACATACTCCCTCCGTCCCTTTTTAGTTGTCCACTTTAGAAATGGCACACAGATTAAGGCAACAATGATTAGCACAGTGAAGTTACAATTTTACCCTTATGATAATTTTTCACTTCAAAATTACAACCACTTATTTGAATTCAAGTGAAATAAATTGGAGGGAAACAACATACACTTTTACAATTTTCAAGAAGTGTAAATAAGGGTATAATAGGAAAAAATTTGTTGTCCTTTCTTGATTTGTCAAAATGGACAACTAAATAGGGACAACTAAAAAAGGAAATATGGACAAGTAAATAGGGACGGAGGGAGTACTTTATAATTGATTTGCTTTAGAAATTTGTGTCTTATATTGTTTGTTTAAAAAACATTTAAATATAACATTTCTCAACATGTTATAATTTTTGGTTGTATGAACCAGACACACTTTCTTATGATGAAGAATAAATTTTTAAATTCAACTTGAAAAATAAAAGTAAAAAATATTCATGATTAAACAGTTATCAAAATTAAAAATTGTCTAATATCCCCCCACTCTACTTCTGTCACAACTCAATCTCATTCAATATTTTTGAAGCAACGATAAATGTGGGCATGGGGTTTTATGTTTTTTTCTCTTTCTCTTTGTCTCTGTTAATCATATATTAAAGCAAAGAAAGAAAACTGAAGAGGAAACAGAGAATGAAACTGAAAATGGGCACAGAAACACAAGATGAAGTGAACACAAGAAAGGGTGGTCTTAGAACCATGCCATTCATCATTTGTACTAATCATACTCTACTCTTTTACTTTTCTTTAGTTAAATTGTTTTGCAATTTGTTAATTTCAATTTTTCACTTTTTTGTTGTTGTTGTTTTCAGTGAATGAATCATTTGAGATGATAGCAAGTTATGGTTCACAAACAAATTTGATAATTTACTTGATGACATATTATAACATGAGTGCTGCTACTGGTACTAGTATTCTTGCATTATGGGGTGCACTTTCAGGTGGATTGGCTATTGTTGGGGCAATTATTGCTGATTCTTATTGGGGGAGATTTAATGCTGTTGCCTATGGAACCATCTTCACTTTTATTGTGAGTTGTGCTATTTTAACAATATGTTTTTTTTTAAAAAAATTAAACCACCATATCTTGTAGTATGGTTTAACATTCTTCTTGGACAGGGAGTGGTTATTCTTTGGCTCACATCAATGATTCCACAACTCACGACTTTGGCCTGTTCTCAGTTTCAACATGTTTGTAATGGACCAACAGCATTCCAACTTGCTGTTCTGTTTACATCTTTTGCGTTTACGTCAGTCGGAGCTGGTTTTGTTAGACCTTGTTCTATAATGTTTGGTGCTGATCAATTGGAACAAAAAGGGAACCCAGAGAACAAGAAGATTGTTGAGAGCTATTTCAATTGGTACTATGCTAGCACAGGGGTTGCAACTATGATTGCAGTTACTGTAATTATTTATATTCAAGATCGTTTTGGTTGGCAAATTGGGTTTGGTATCCCTGTTATACTCATGGTTTTGTCTGTCTCAACGTTCCTAATCGGTTCTCCTCTTTATATCAAAGTGAAAACTGATACAGAGAACTTGCTATTAGGATTGTTCCAAGCAGGTGTAGCAGCTTTTAGAAAAAGAAAAATCCGTCTTCCATTGACTGGTTGTGATGACTACTATCATTCGCCGTATGAAACAGAGGTCTTAACGCCATCAAAGGACTTCAGGTCAGTGTCTCCATCTTTTGTCTGATTTTATTATATTGCAGTTCATTGGAATAAGACTTTATTGTATGATGGATATATATATAGGTGGTTAAATAGAGCTTGTATGATTGAAGATCCTGAAAGAGATTTGAATCCTGATGGATCAACTTCAAATCCATGGAATCTCTGTAGTGTGGAACGAGTTGAATCACTCAAGGCTCTTATTAGAATACTTCCTATGTGGTCTGCTGGTTTTATGATGTTTGTGGACTTGAATGTATTCACATTTTCTGTACTTCAAACAAAGACCATGGATAGACATATCTTCCCGCACTTTGAAGTACCAGCAGCATCATTCAGTGTGTTCCTGATTATTGCTTTAACAATCTGGATTACTTTCTACGACCGTGTTTTTGTCCCTTTGCTATCAAAATATACTGGACGGCCAAGAGGGCTAAGTCCTGTTACCCGAATGGGAATTGGCTTAGCAGTCTCTTGTATGTCTATGGCGTTGTCAGCAATAACAGAAAGTATAAGACGAAAAAGGGCAATAGCGGAAGGGCATGAGGACGACCCACATGCTTTAGTAAACATGTCTGCTATGTGGTTCGTGCCACAGTATGCACTACTCGGAGTAGCTCAGGCTACACATGTAGTTGGACAGATTGAGTTCTTCTACACTCTATTACCAAAAAGCATGGCCAGCATCGCGTCAGCTATGTACACTGTTGGTACTGCTGTGTCGAGTTTGATTGGAAGTTTTCTGGTGAGTAGTGAGGATTGGCTTACATCAAGGGGAGGTAAAACGAGCTGGCTTGCTAGCAACATTAATAAGGGTCACCTGGATTACCATTTCTGGATACTTGCTTTTATGAGTTTTCTCAACTTGTTATATTTTCTAGTCGTTTGCCGGTTTTATCAAACTGAGAATGATGAGTTACCTCATGTGGTCGATGAGGAAGAATGTGATTATAGACTCTTACATGAATCTTGATGATATGTTGTACTGCATTCTTGAACTATCCAACTACTACTAATTGAGTTAGACAATAAAGTGTTTTTATATGTTAAGACCTCTACAATCTCATTTCTTTTTTATGTATCTTTCGACTTTCCTTGGACAAAAATGTGAACATACATTCGTGATGAATATGCCACTTAACTTAACTTGTATTCCGTTGATAACTTTGAGTGTGCACAAGTAGATAGTTAAATTTGTATAAAATTAAAAAAGTAAACACATGCATTTCCACGTAAGATACAAATAGTTAAAGTATCTACTTGTGCACACTAAAGTTTGAGGACATAAATGTCAACTAAGTCCAAGTTCAAGGATATGTTCATGTATTATGCTTTTTTTTGAATAATTTGAAGTGAAAACTACTTTTAAATATTTTTTAAATTTAAGTTGAACTATAAATTTTCCAAAATATGATCAACTACTCCCTCTGTTCCAATTTATGTGACACATTTTGCTTTTCGAGAGTCAAACAATTTGAGCTTGACCGAGAATTTGCTCATGGAATCTTCAAATTTTTTAAAATAAAATTTATATATTTGTAATTTGTAAACTATATAAAAAGTACTATAAGTCTCAATAATTGATAATTCAAAATAATTAAAAGACATATGAAAAAATTATGGTCAAAGATAAACTTGTTTACCTCTCGAAATCCAAAATATGTCACATAAATTTGGGACAGAGGGAGTATTATTTTTGAAATTTAACTCGAAATAAAAAGTAAAAAATATTCATGACAAAACCGTCTCAATCAAATTAAATAATAATGCCATGAGGGGACCTGCTCACTACCTTTCTCATTCTTATGAGCTGGAATTGTGCTTTTCAGTGTCAAATTAAAGATGACAAGGGTAAAATGAGAAAAAATTTATTATGTACCAGACACAAAAATGAGGTGGCTGACAATACTTGTATGAGGCTCTATTTATATTGTGCCAAGTAGAAAGTTGGGTCCCATTTCAGAAAATGGCCCAAATTCCCTTTTCTCTATCTTCTTTTCAATGATTTTTTCTCTTTCTTACTTTTTTTACCAAAAAAAATTTGCCTGATTCATTCTATTTCTAACATTTTGATATTATTTTTCCATCTCAATATTAATTATTTATATTACTAAAAATATTTAGATAAAATTATTTGTTAATTTACAAAGATATAATTAATTACATTTTTTCTATTTTATTATAACAATTATTTCTTTTTGAAAGTGTAAATAAAATTTATAAAGTTAAAAAAAAATTAGGTGTAAATTAGTAAAACTATTATTTTATTTATAATTTTTTAAGAAATTTGTAAAAGAAAAAGTAGACTATTAATATGAAAAACAAAGAAGGTATAAAATTAATTTGTTCTTTTATTCTTCTCAATAATTTTAGAATTTCAAAAGCACTTGAATCCATCAAATACTCTTCAAAAAGAAAATATAACGGAAATAGCAACAATGATCTTGACAAACAATTACATAAGTTTTGATACTATTTTCATGAAATTCAAAAACGAAAAGCATCCATAAACACCTATATAAATACATATTCTTTCCGCCAATTTATACGATATTTTTTATTCTTGAAATTCAAGCTAGGTGGAATTTAATAAATACTTTATTTATCTATTTTCCTTATACGTTTCTTAAGAAATCATAAATAAAAATGATAATTTTATTAATTTATTCCTTAAAAGAATTTTTGCGACTTTACAAATTTTATTTATACTTTCAATTTTTTTTTACTTATATCTTGATTTAATAAACCGAAAATTAAATACAAATAACTATTTATTATTATATAATATGAATTTAAACATAGAATAGAAAAAATAATATTAGAATAATAAAGTAAAAACTTATATAATGATCATAAAAATTAAATCAAAATTTACTACATAAAAAGTAAGAAACATAAACTAATTAGATCAAAAAACAAAATTAGATTTGGTTAAGATAATCTTAAAGAAGAAAAAAATATTTGAAAAAATAAAAACACAAATAGATTGACTAGGGGCGTAAACAAAAAAAAAATGAAAGAGGGGACTTAAAAGAATGTCACTTTGTTAGCTTGGAAATGGCAAATGGCAAATGGCAAATGGCAAATGGGTCCTATCAATGTCCATTTGTCAATCAAATAATGCCTCATACAAATATGACTTGGCATACCTCATTCATAATAAATTTTTTCGTAAAATGAGCATTTTTTTTGTGGATGGTATTTAGTTGTCATGGGTGGCTACAATTTTTAAAATCATCTGTTTACTCTTGTGGACTACCCTCAGTTTTTCCAAGCTTTATTTTTTTAAAAAAATATTATTAAGATATTTTTATTCAAAGAAATTTACAAAGATGCTAGAGTTGAAAATAAATTTTAGTGTATGAAAAATAAATTTAAGTACAAATAAATTTGAAAAAAAATAAAAGTATTATATTAATAAGTAGTGTAGGTATATTTCTTTTTTCCTTTGATTTTTCTCGTTGAATTTTTTTTATTTTCACGTAAAGAGAATTTAATGAATCTTCTTGAAATATTTACGTGTTAAGAAAAATCTAACAATATCTTAATCTTTCTTATGAATATTCAGAAGTTTTATGGGATATTTGAGAAGAAATATATTATCTATCTATATCTATTTATACTATATTAAAAGCATCAAAGTCATATTTATGACGTACTTGGTAGCTAATGACAAGGTACACAAGAAAGATAGATTGATCAAATAGGGGATCGATGTGGAACCACAATGTAAGTTGTGTGAAGGAGCAAAATGAAACTGTTGGACATCTATTCTTTCAATGTCCAGTAGCAACTGAGATATGAGGCCAACTACTGAAATGTCAGGGAATCACAAGGCAACAGAGTGCATATGGATGGAACGTCATTACGGAATAAATGGAGCTCACTCTATGATAGGATCAATGAGATAAATGAGCATTTTCTCATTTGGCATAACAAGTGGTCTCAATCTCTGTTAGGAATATGAGATTCTTAATAAAAAATCGAGTAATTTATCTATACTGTGAACTATGAACTACTCTCTTTACTTTAATTTAGCTATCTTACTTTATTTTTTTAGTTCATTTAAAAAAAAATCTCTTTTATTTGGTCATATATTAAAGCAAAGAGCAATGTGAAGAGGAAAAACAGAGACACAGTGAAAATGGGGACAGAAATTACACAAGTAGAAGAGAAGCCAAGAAAGGGTGTGGTCACACAACTATGCCTTTCATCATTGGTTAAGTGGGAAAATATTTGTATTGGTGGTTGTGTTAACGTTCAGAGGGTTTCGATTCAGAATGGATTCATGGGTTAGTCTATGGCTTGCTAACCACTCCTGATTTGTAAATCTTTCAAAGTTTGACTCGAAAGTTCAGGTCTTAGTAGTTGATCTTGATGGATGGTCTTAAAGAGGAACTCACTTGGAGATATGAACGTACACCTACTCTCGAAGATCATAACTCAGGATTTTGATAACGTTGGTTATTTTTCCTTCTCCTTCTTTATGTTTGAGGACGAACATAATTTTTAGTGGTGGATAATGTTTGAGGACGAACATAATTTTTAGTGGTGGATAATGTGATGACCTGGAAGGTCATTTTTGAAATTTTTTGTAAAATTATTGTTTTACCCCTCTCGATAGTTGACCCGAGTCACATCTGATTAGTTTGTGAAGTTGGTTGAGAATTTTGAGCTATTTGGGTATCTATAGTTAATTTTTAAATAATTAATTTATTTAGTTGGTGGTTAATGAGCCAAATTCATAATTAATTTAATACCCTATATCACTTGACTCATATATTGAAATAAGTTAGTAGGGTTTTATACTTATAAGTCATAAATTAGACAATGGAAAATCAACAACTTCCTGGCAAAAACTACTTACAATGCGACGACAATCAAACGGAAGAAATAATTACTTCAGGTAAAGAAACAAAAAACAAAAGATGCATTCGATTTTTTCTCATATAGTTTCTAGGTTAGATGTTAAATCATTATTATATTCAGGGGCGGACCTACAGTGGTTCAAGTGGGTTCATATGAACCCACTTCGTTGAAAAATAACATTGTATATATATGTATATTTAATCAGTTTTTAAAATTTTATATGTATATATCAAATTTTGAACCCACTAACACAAGTTGAAGCTTAGCCGAGTGGCTGAGGGGGTTCAATTTTCCCAGCCATCCCGGGATCGAATCCCTATAGCCACATTTCAGTTTTAATTCGTTTTTTTTATATATAAAACATTCACACACAATTTTGTCCTAAGTAACTTTTGTCCTTTTAGTTACTTAGGAACTATAAAAAGTAGAACAACTTTTTACTTTTACATTTAAAGTCCAATAGTCAATAACTTTTGTCCTTTTTGTTTTTAGTTTTTTTTTTTTTAAAAAAAAAAACTCAACTAAAAAGGCACTAATCCTTATTATTTTCAATTCTAAAAATCATTTTATCTTCTTCTTTGTTGAAATCTTCTTGAACCTCTCTTACTTTTCCCCCCAAAATTTTGAGCATATTTTTTTGTTGAAGGAAAAAAACTCTCCCCATCTCTCAAATCTTGCACAAGTATGTTTTTCGCTCTTGATTCTAGTCTTTATATATACATATATGATTATTGTGGTTATTTTTTATTTCTTCAACTAAAAAATCCCTTATCATTCTAAAATCAACAAAAAATTACAAATAATATTAGGTATGTTTCTATGTATTCAATTCTGAAATTAAGGTTATAATTATTTTGTTTAATATTTTGTTTTTATTTGTTAACTGTTGAATGAAGAGAAATCATTCATAATATTCTTTTATCTTCTTAGTTTATATTGAAGCCTAGTTTTTCGTTCATCTTGTTATTTACCGTCTCATTCATAAGTCAATGTAATTTTTTTTCAAATTTATTGACATTGTTTAGTATAGTCAAATATGTATGTTGTTAGCCTCATAAAAATTACAAATAATATTAGGTATATTTTTATATCTTGAACCCACTTCGTGAAAATCCTGGGTCCGCCACT